GTGACAAGAGTAGGCCTGAAACTTGTGGCACAATCACCTGCTCTAACCACACGGTGTAGCAAGCTGTGACTTAAAATACATGTCAGTTACATTTACTGGGGGTGGGGTTGCACCCAGTTCCCAGCACCGTTTACTTTATGTAGAAGATATAGGTACACGGCTAGTGTTTTTGAAGGCTGCGAGAAGATTTTAGAGGTGATTGCTTTGCTTGGGGTGGCACAAATGTTCAGTTTATCTTTAAACTTGTCATGTAAGCCTAAAATAAGAAGGCAAAAATAAAAAATACATTTGATGAAATCCCCCTGGTCAAGATTATCAGCACTATGTTGAGGCACTTCATGACTCGGTGCTTCTTCAGTCCTTGCTGCAGTGTTAGAACATTTCAGATACATACCAGAACATTAGTGCAGTCTACTACACTGAATGATAGAGGCTCAAAAGAATAAAGAAAGGCATACACTGAGTGGTAACTTTGTTAGGCTCATTCCAGGCCCTGTGTTTGTGATTCTTTCGCCATTGCACATTAGATATCAGCACGATCTTCAGACCTGGCAGCGTGCTGATTGTGTTTAGTCACAGGAAGGCATGCTCCCTGTGCTGTGCCCCAGAGCGTCTGGAAACATGATATTTATCTGTCTTTGTAGCGACTCACCTGAGCCAAATTTCAAGATGCAGAAGGAAGTAGGACCATTTTTTTACCCCTTAATGAACTGTTGTGATATCCTCTGTCATCAGATTCCGGTCGTTCACACGCACATATTTGGCACCATTTTAGAGAAAGCAACCAATGCTAAAACTATTTTCTTTTTCTTTTTCTTTCTGATCACAGGTGGATGGACCAAAGGAATCTGGTTCTTGGACTGAGGCACCAAACTGTTACCACTCTTTCTGCTTAGCTGGGACGACTATCTGAAAGTCCAAATAAACCACCCTACACTCCCACCTCTGAGGAATTCAGGAGCCTTGGAGATTTAAGGAGTCATTGCAACAGCTTTTTTTCTTCTTTTTTTTAATGGCACCTTCCAATAAAAGGCCTCCTCGCTACTTCTTATCACTGAGCCAGTTCAATTCAACTTTATTTATATAGCGCCAAATCACAACAACAGTTGCCTCAAGGCGCTTACTGCAAGGGTCACACAGGGTCAGCTGACCAACCTGGACCAAGAATTTATTCTTTCGTTCTCACACACTCAAGTTGATGTGTAACACATCCGCAGCCAAAAACAGGAAGCTAAGCAGTGGGGCTGAGCAAGAAACATATTTAAAGCCTTAGCAGGGCACAGGATATCGTTTCAGACAATACCTCGTGGACCTTTCTGAACTGCCTGTAATCCAACCCTCCACTAAACCTGTACTGTATGTGTACATGTGAGAATCTGTGTGCATATGAGATTATTTATCAGTGTTTATCTCTGTGCTGAGCAGTTCTTGTGAGTGAATAGCCATCAGAGACAGCACAGAACCATCAGCATAAGTGAGTTAAAACAGCAACAACAAAAAAAAAACTACCTTTAAGTAGTCAACACTGGTCCGATACTGTAAGCTGGACTGTTAAGTCATCTGTACATATTAGCTGTGACAGAATAAGAGCTACAGATTGTGGTGCTCTGGCAAAGCTCTCCTATCTGTCTCCACCTCATAAAGACTCAGGCTGACAACAGTGCCCACCAAGGGGAGGGTGTGGGGGATCTCTGAGGGAAACATGGAGGGAACCATCCGTCCCCATGTACCCTCTAATGGCTGACTTCAAAAAAGGAGTCTAATCTTTTTTGCCCTCGCACAGAACCAGGCAGAGTTGTCTAGCGCTGATAAGAGCCATAGCTCCTCTCTTTCCCACCTCCAAAACCGTGCGAATGTCCTGCCTCAGGCGTCAGCCCGTGACCATCCCGATGGACACCGTCAAGATCATCCAGTCTGAGAAGTTTCCCAGAGAGTGTCCTGTGCCCGTCACCCAGCCACGCTATGCCCCGCCCCCCAGAGTGGCGTGGGACGGTGGAGGTGAGGGCGAGATCATCGTCAACCAGGCCTGCAGCGACCTAACTCTGGACATAGCAGGGTCTCCCAGGCCGATGGTGTCCCCCCCGGCCCCTGTGATGCGCAGGGAACAGAGCTTCCTGGCGCAGCGAAAAACCAGTGCCAATGAAATCTGCTACCACCAGTTCCACTACAAGATGGACGACGTCATAGTCAACCAGTACGTGCTACGTTCCTCCTCCACCTCCTCCTCCTCTTCTTCCTCTTCCTCCTCGGGACCCGTAATGCCCTGCGAGCCCCTGGATTGCCCTACCTGCGGCCACACATACAACTTCGCCGGGAAGCGGCCGCGCATCCTCTCCTGCCTGCACTCGGTGTGCGAGGAATGCCTGCAGATCCTCTACGAGTCGTGTCCCAAGTACAAGTTCATCTCCTGCCCCACGTGTCGCCGCGAGACAGTGCTGTTCACTGACTATGGCCTGGCTGCTCTGGCCATCAACACCAGCATCCTGAGCCGCTTGCCCTCTGACCCCAACGGGCCCGTGCAGTGGGGCGGGGACGCCGACCGCAGCTGCTACCAGACTGTGCGTCAGTACTGCCAGTCAGCCTGCACCTGCCAGATTGCCAACCCCTTGTCTTCCTGTGGCATCATGTAGACAAGGACGACACTGCAGGCATGACTTGATGCTGCTTGACCACCGCCACCACCACCACCACTCCTCGTCTATAAGCTCTGCCTGTTCTGCCAATTCCCCCCTTCACTCACACATACAGTAAATAAAGCCCTCCATAGATGTTATCTATATATATTTAATAGCACAGATGGATGCTGTGTGGGACTAATGGATGCCGGTGGTTCAATAAATAGTAAATAAATGTATTTTATGTATGGACTGGAATCCTGTTCACCCTCTCTCGTTTGGTTGGACGTGTTTGTCTTTGTTGACATCTCTTTACATGGGAATGCCTGGGGAGGTCCATCTCCCCCAACCTAGGTGAATAAAGATTATCTAAATGAGAAAAAGTACCTCTGTGTGGCCTGCACTTGTTGGGTGGGAATCATAGGGTACTCACAATACTGACTTTTAAGTAAAAAAAAAAAAGAATGCTAAACGATTTTCTTACAGCATTCAGATGAAAACCCAAAAATTGGATTAAAAAGTGTAAAATGTTTGATAAGCAAGGAAATTTTAAAGGCAGTTTTAGCCCATGAAACCCTTAAATTGAATAGTTAAAGTTTCTAAGTAGTGAAAATCTATTTACTTCAAATCTGAAATAGCTGATTCATTAAGTTCAACAGTCCAACAGCAACTGATGAACAATACATTTGGCAGTTTGTTAAAATCTTCCACATACTGTAATGAGTTGGTTCAAGTCTGTTCTGAGTTTCATAAAAACTTACTGGACGGTTTATTAGGTATACCATGTTAGTACTGGTTTGGACCACCCTTTATTCTTTGTGGTACAGATTCAACAAAGTGGTGTAAACTTTTCTCTGAGATTTTGTTCCATTTAACATGATACCATCACATAGCTGCTAAAAATTTGTCAGCTGCACATCCACGAGCTTTTTATCTCTAAAAGTGTTCTACTGGAATGAGATCAGGAGTCTGGAGGCCAATCCCTTGAGGTGGTCTGAGATTTGGGACATGGCTCATTATCCGGCTGGAAGCAGCCATCAAAAGATAGGTACACCGTGGTCATAAGGGGATGGACAGCAATAATACTCAGGTGGGTTGTATTGTATTTCTGTAACAATACAGAAAAAACACTATTACACCGACACCAAAAGCCTGAACCAGTCATACAAGTGAAGATGGATCCATGTTTTCATGTTGATTATACCAAATTCTGACCCTACCATCTGAGGGTTGTGGAAGAAATCCAGGGTCATCAGACCAGGAAACATTTTTCCAGTGGTCTGTAGTAAATTTGCTTCAAGGTTCCATATGTTGTATGTTCAGAGATGCTCTTTGGCACACCTTGGTATTAATATGTTGTTGTTTATCTTGTCTTCCTATGAGGCCATTCTTGTTTGACTTGTAAAATCAACAGGCCATATCCTTTGGTCAGAGAACTGCTGACCACTGGATATTTTCTCTTTACTCTCTGTAAACTCTGGAGATGTTTGTGCTGAAAAATCCTAGTAGATCAGCACTTTCTGAAATACTCAGACCAGCCTATCTGGCACTAACAACAACACCATGCACGTAAGTCACTTAAATCACCTTTCTTCCCCATTCTTCTGCTGCTTGGTTTGAGCTTCAGCAGGTCGTCTTGACCATGTTTACGTGCCTGAATGCAGTCCGTTGCTGCCATGTGATTAACTGATAAGAAATGAATAAGTTGAGTCTATGAAAAGGTGTAGCTAAGTGGTCACTGAGTGTAACCTTTGAACTCCTGATGATTAAAAATTCTAAATAATAAGAAGGGAAAAAAGCAACATTGTTTAAACTGCACGGTCTAAGGTAGGTTTTCACATTAAGCAGAAACTGTGTTATGTAATCATGGTTCTTCTTATAGACATGAACAACATGAACTTTGTGTTGTCAAATTACAAGAAGACAAAACTCTGGAACTTCTGTGAAGTATTTTCATCATTCCT